CTTCCAACCCAAATCATTCTATGATTCTATGGATCACAGGTGAATTAGTGGCTGATATTGGGTATTGTCTACTAAGTACATATCAGTTTCTTTGATCAGCAATATAACTAGTAGGAAACCAAAATCCTCTCAAAAACCAGATTACTATAATGTATTTTAAAGTTTCTGTGAATGATTCCTGTGTGTAAAGGAAGGCTATTATCCCTATTTGCTGAATAATTTCCAGAGTATAAGCAGCTTCATTCTGCTCATCATTTTTAATTAAGTATAAGTTTGCATCAATCTAGAGTCCCTGTCAAAGGAAAAAAACAAAGTAAAATATCAGAGGGATGCTTTTCATTGGCAGGCACTATCTCTTACCTGTATATGGATCTTCCTCACCCACTGGAGCTACTACACTTGATGCTGAACCAGGAACATAGCGACCAGCACCTGAACAGAGACATTAGGCTTTTTAAACATCACCACTGGTAAAAAGATAATGTATATCTGTATTTAGTTACTTGTTTTCAAACATTACTATTAAAGGTCTTACTTTGCACTTAAGGTGTTACATTGAGTCTTCAACACTTCCTGAAATTTAAGGATTAAATTTATGCCTGTGTGTAAGGGTGGTGCTGGTGGTGATAATGGCATTCCAACCTAAGAGACCCACAGCTGGGAAACACTCTGGCACAGTCTCTGGCACCCAGTGGCACAAAGGCCCTCAGCACAGCAGATGCCTTATGCATGACAAGCTCCAGGAGGACGGCACTGCTGCCCAGGCCTGGCCTCTCTCTGCGTCTGGGGCCAGCAGTAGCCTCTTCTGTGGGAGATGGAGTCTGCTTGTGGCACAGAGGTCTTGGGTGAAGGAACTTTGCATCTGCAGAGACTGCAGCCTGAGCTGCACTAAGCAAGGGAGGAGAGACAGCTGGAGACCACAGCAGAACAGTAACAGATATAGACTGTCAACATGGGGAAGGCTGAAGGCTGTGGCTTTTGGCAACAGCACGAAGGCTTCTACTCCACTTGTAGATCTGCAATTGTGGAACAGACACAGTGCCCTGGCACTAGTGAGGACAAACACCCAACAGGGGAAGCATTAGAGACAGCTGAGACTGCACCTCGTGTCTGCAAAAAGGGGAAAGGCAAGCAGCAGTATGGGAGGCTTCCTCCTGCCTATGTATATGGAGGCACCCATCTACTGACATGACCCATTATCTTGGGAGGTTGGTGTCTGCTGTGGGCCAGGAAGCTGCGGAGAAACTGCCAAGGCTTGCCTAGTCTTCAGACAATTATCTTCCTACTTTTTCACGTGGGCACCAATGCTACTGCCAAGGAAGTCCTGGAGAGTATCCAGAGCGATTAAGAGAACTCTGTGGGCAAGGGTAAAGGGCCCAGGTAGTGTTTCCTTGATGCTGCCAGCAAAGCAAAACCACTTGAAACTGACTCATTGCATGTGTCAGCAATTCACTGCATGGCTGGTTTTGCAGGCAGGACTTTGGCATCAATGACTACAGGACCCAATTTGAGGAGCAAGAGCTACTAATCAGAGACGGTACAAGTCTAACAAAGCAGGGCTGGAATGTCTTTGCAAACAGGCATGCTAACCTAGTGAGGAGGACTAGCTACACAGGGAGGGTTAGAATCTAAAATTTAGGGAGGAAGATGCCAATAAAAGTCAGGTAATAAGAAAACAGGAATAGTAAGGTAAAAAAGAAAACTGTTTCTATGAATATACCCATTCCTGTGTTGGCCATACGTAGGAGAGTTTGACATAAGGTTTAAGACCTTACTCCTCTGCTGCAGAGGACAGCGTGAGGAGGCACGCTGAGGCAGAGCAGACAGCAGAGGGCTCTCCTCTGCCAAACAAATCTGGATATGCTTTGACAGTGGCAGAGGCCACCTTATCAGTCTGTCTCACACTACTGCCCCAAATCGAGAACTGCAAGAAACAGTGGTATGGAGTCAAACACTGCATGCAGCTGAACATGATAAAATACGCATCTTCAATGCTAGCCAGACAGATTATAAATTTTACACTACCTGTAAATGGATCTGCCGCAGGTATTGTACTTGATCTAGATGAAGTGCCTGGAACATAACGTCCAGCACCTAGTGAAACAGTAAGAAAAGTGATGACTACAATACACAGCTTGATGTTATTAAAATGTCAATACTTTTCAGACAGAAGCAGCTCAAAAAGAAAGCCAAACATCAAATATATCTCATTCTTTATTGTGGCATTATAAGAAACCTGATCCTATCCACACAAAGGTCTCCTGATGCTGAATAAATTCTTCCTAATTATTTGAGGGTCATACACACTACAGATTTGGACACAGCCAAATCAAAACTATGTGTATACATTCAGATGACTGCAGTTCCATGAGTTACATCTGAACCCAATTAGCCTGTATTCTCACTTCCAGTTCATTGCAAGAAAAAGATTTAGCTCAATTATTTTAATAGCATTTTATTCCTAACTTCATCTTTGTGAAACTGATTGAAATGAGTGGTTTATTTTGTAAATGTGATAAGCAGGATGTAATTGATTAACACGGTTCAGCTTATGAGTAATTTAACTTGTTCCAGTTCCATTTCCTGCCTGAAAAAGGGTAATTTATGTATTTCGCTCAGTTTCAGTTCATTCTCTAGCTAAGTTTTCGTATTGCCTTAACAGCACCTGGCCACCTCCTAGAGTAAGATGAAAAGTGAAGTTTTCTTCCACTGGAAAAAAGACAAGGTAGAAAAATACAACTAGCTTGATTAAAATTTTGTTGAAGACTTGTTTTGACAAATACTTCAAAAGCCTGTCAAGTTTTCATATTTTTCTTGTCAGATTATCATGCCTTGTCCTCAATCATTTGAGGACACAGAGTCCTGTACAAGAAGTGCAGAGGCTATGACACTGAAGTCTGCCTGAGCAGTGAGGTGGACTGAAAACTGAACAGAGGGTGGTGATCAGTGGCACATCTGCATCCAGTCAGGATTGCATCCAGTCCTGTTCAACATCTTAATGATCTGGAAGATGAGTCAGAAGGCACACTCAGCAAGTTTGCTGATGACACAAAACTGGGAGAAGTGACGGATGTAGTCATTTTAGCTTAAAATTTTTACCTGTAAATGGATCTGACAATTGAGCACTTGCAGTCAGCATTTGCCCCCTAGTGTTGTCCATAATAAACTTAGCCACCTGATCCAGAAACATAGGACTTAGATTATTCTGCTGCAGGAAGTTGTATGCAGTCAGCCAAGGATCATCAGTGACATTATATGGCAGTTTGTAGGAAGACACACTTTCATCTACATCAATACTGAAAACGTAGTCATACTCCTTTAAGCAGAACAAAAATAAAAACAAATTAGAAGTTTGTCAGCACTTTTTACATAAGGATGTATTAAATGCAGACTAGTAATGGCCCAGGACTAAGCCTGAAAACTTCAATACTGCTACTTGCAGGTTGTATCAATAATATTCTCCTACACCAGCTGCAAGTAAAAAGTACTTAGCCCATACCCTGTGTTTTCCAGAATTCTCTGTCTCAAGAACAGCAGGCTAGAACAACATACCACGATAACGCATGCGCAGATGCACTACAAACAGATGCACCAGGTAACTCTGGTGAACAGTTCTGGCTGCCTACAAAGCTACAGGGCAGTCAGATGTCTCAAAAAACTTCAGTCTTAAAAGCACATTTCTAATACTAGAAAACCACAAATTCCTAAGGTTCATTTAAACCATGTGAAGACAAAATTAATATCTCAAAGGCATTCCTTCTGTGGTGGCACTAGACAGCAACTTTTCTGCGTACACTTCAGCCAAGGATACATTTTTCAGCTTATCTGTATTCAGGTTCAAAAGTTACTATAGCAAAAGGATACAGAAAGCCTGGTGCCTAATATTTTAGGTAAGCCTTGCATTATAACTTGTATGGTTCACTTCCTTTGGAAAGAAAGTTAAAACTGACTTTTCAAGCTATGCAATAAATTAGTAGAGAACTTGATCATTTCTCTGCTAAACAGTTTACCTTTCTCCAAAATAATTTGTCTCCACTGGCTTTCTTGATTTAAAAAATGTGTTTCAAAAGTAATAAAACAAGTAGTACTTATTTATACTTCTACTTCTGAGTTTTAATAGATCAAAGAAAACAAAAAAGTACCAGAATATCTATTTTCTAAATTATATTTTATCTAAACAAAGACTGGAATAAATTTTTAATGAGAAATGAAGCATTTTACTTAAGAAGGAATAAAACCAGTTAAAGTTTGCATATACCTTTCCTTCAAATAAAATCTTTCCAGATGTTTGTTGTGTGGCTCCAGAAGAACCAACAACATCACCAATCTTCATCCATCTTCCTTCACTAACACTCCACTGATAAGCTTCTACTTTTCCACGATTTTTAATGAGCCGTGTCTGTCCATCTTTTGTTCCTGTAGATAGGAGTGTTTAAGATTTTTAACAAATTCAAGAATATGATTTACTTTAGGAGAAAAAAAAAATAAATCCTCAAATAGCGCTCAAATTTGAAGATGAAAAGATAGTTCACCAACATTTAGAGTCAAAGCACAGGCAGTAACTAGATACTACATGTCGCAACAAGGACAGCAGCAATCTTGACAACAGCATTTTACAATTACGGTAATGGTATCTGCCACCAGACTAAGCTGCAAAAGCAATCCTTAAGTCAAGTAAAAGTTTACCATTTTCCCAGTGAGATGGCAATCAAAAAAGCTGATATTCTGCCATGGCCTAACAAGATGGAAAGCTTCACCTGATTGTAAGATTTATGCCACCAGGTGATCAGAGCAAAGGGCTGAGGTCACTGGTTACATCACCTCGGGAAAAAGTTATTTATCTATTTAAGAGTAATCTTAACTACCACTGCTCCCACAGTGATCTCAGGAATCTCTTGAGTACCTGGAAAGTGTGAATTGAGTCAATCTAGACAAACTATTTTTCAAGCTGAAAGCTGAAGCAGAAAAATTCCATCTACTTTTCTTTTAGGAAAAAAATTCCACATTCAGTAGTCCTTTTGCAAATTATGCACCTGTCTCATACTACTGGGACAGCTGGCATAACAGATCCAAAACATCTCAAACACTGCAGCATCCTGAATTCCACCTTTTTCCTAAGTTCTCATAAGAGAAATACTTTTTCCCATTTTAGTCTACAAAAATGTATTTAAACTGGAGTCTTGCCCCTGAGGAGGACAAGGAGAGAAGGGATGGAAAGAGTTAACAGGACTCAGGCAGCTCCTGCCCTGAGCCTTGAACAAGAGTAAGGGAAGAAACAGGTGTGGACTGTTAGACGGGAGAGGAGCAGAGCACAAGCCTGCAGGACAGCAGCCATTGGGGTTAGCGGTACTGGCGTGTGGACAATGCCTGTACACCGATCACAGCTTACTTAGTGGCACGTGTGCTAGTAGAGAAACGTGTATAATGATGCTGTAGCAAACAATAAAGGCCTTCGGTTTATCCCCAATTGGAGTCTGTGCCTTAATCCGCCACATGTCTCCAAAAGAATCAATGAAAGGATAGTAAAACAAAATTAAGCTGTGTTATTCATCAGTCCTATTGCAAGTAATCAAAGCCTTAATTTTGGAAAACTCAATACCTCAGAACTAAGATTTGGAGGTATCTCTAACATGACGAAGGTATAATCACTTACCGGGATCCTCAAGATGTTCTCTTCCAGGAAGGTCATCAGCATTAATATCTCCTAAATCACCAGTTTTAGGGTCAATGGACGCTTGGGAAAGCTCATTTTCAAAAGCTTGAATCTCCTCAGCACTTGCTGTACGTTCCAGAGACTCTGTAAACACTCTTATAATTCCATCACTGAATGGAGATAAAACATTCAAACAGAAATGCCATTTTAAATGGCAAAATGATTACATGCATTCTAATGGTGACTTCTGTGTCCTGAGAAATGATCATTATTTCTAACAACCCCTCCCAATTATTTTTATGAAAGGAATTTGTTCTCATGCTAAAAACATCCAGAGAAGGACTTAAAGCAGCTAACCCTATCTGTAGTGTAATTTTAAAATCAAGATTGGCTATGTCTGTCAAAAGGGGTTTTTTACAGAGTACTTGTAAGTTCATTCTCAAGTTTATTCATGGTTTACCACGTTCCCAGAGAACACACTCTACCTCTGCAAGTCAGGTAACAAAATAATGTATTTCTGGATTAAGTATAGCATATGTTTAAATTTAATCCCTGCACATACTTTGATGCTGTATTTTTACAGCTAGATGAAACTGATATCCAAAGCGATGCTTGCAATTTCATCAAGAGTTTGCAAATTTAGATCTAAAAATACACTGAGATTAAAACTTGGATACCTTGCACCAACTACGATGTCACCATTGTTTAACACACAGCAGCACCACACAGACTGAGCTGGAAGTCTGATTGTTTGAGCACATTCCCCTTTTTTCCAGATTCTAAGGGATCTATCCTCTCCAGTAGTTACAAAATCTAAAAAGAAAAAAATACGAAAACTTTAAAAATATATTTTTAGTGTACTGTGATACTACATGCCACTCTGCAACTGGGTATCTAGAAATCAGAACAATAAAAGAACCTTTCTACAATGTAATACTTCTCTCAATTGCAAGAAATAGCTCAAAATAAGTCACTGCACAGTTGTCTTCTCAAAGAAACTAAAGTGCATAAATTGCAGACTAAAGCAGCCAGACAGGGACCGAAATTATGCTAAAGACAAACAAAAGATTCCTTCTTCCTTTCAAGAGTCTAAACAAAGAACTTCGAACAATTTTGTAACCATCACTGTTCTAGCTTACACTATAGTTTCATATAGTTTCACATTTAAATTCAGATTTTTGCAAGGTACAGCTGCTTGTTCAGGAAACATACATAAAGCACTCTCCAAAGTTTATAAACTCCTTGCCCTGGCTTCGGCTGGTACAGAATTGATTTTCTTCCTAGTATCTGGTGCAGTGCTGTGTTCTGGATTTAGTGTGAGAATAACGTTGATAACACACTGGTGTTTTAGTTGTTTCTAACCTGTGTTTACACTAAGTCAAGGATTTTTTCAGTCTCCCATGCTCAGCCAGCGAGCAGGTGCACACCATAAATTTTCCGAAGTTTCACTGAAGCCTTACAATTAGGTTTGTAACAACAACTCTAACCCAGGACCTTTCATCTCACCCGCTGCCAGAGCAATTCTGCCAGAGGTGTGATTTGGAGTCAATCACAGTATTTTTAATTATTTACACTAAAGGAAATAAGTAAATTAAATGCTGCCTGGATTCCTTTAGTTGTGACAGCTCCACAGAACTACAGAATGCCTACCCTGTCACCTCATTTTGGAAGAATGATGGGTAATAATCGCAAAAATAATCCTACCTTGACATTTAGGGAAGACAGAGATGCTGTATATGTAATTTGTATGTCCGAAATACACCTGCAGACACTCGCCAGAGATATGCCATCTTCGAACACTAGCATCATTAGCACAGGAAAGGAATTCCGTTTTACTGAGAATAGCTAAGCCTCTCACACAATCTTCATGTCCTTTATAAAAGAAAGGAAAACTTTTAATGAAGTTAAAGTCTTTCTGTTAGTAGCAGTATACCATTTCTATTTATCTCACACCTAAATCCTGGCAACCAACCTTCATTATGGGAGCAGTTTAAAAAAAAAAAAAAAAGGCAATTCATTGCACATTATTCTCTGAAAAAATCTAATTCTTTTTAAAGTGATGTAATTTCTGGGCATACAACTTGAGAGACTTTAAAAGTCTTGCCTAAAAATTGTTCAATTTATCTATGGTTTTGTGCGGTTTTAATTTTTTCTCTTTTTAAAAGAGCACACGACCTCGATGAAATTACCAACTGCAGCAACATTTACCAGTGAATGTTCTTTCACATCTGCCTGCCTTCCACAGTTTAATAGTTTTGTCAGCTGAACCTGTCAACATTAATCCCTGTTCGAGCAGTATTTTCACTGCCCATATTGCAGCTGTGTGACCCTGCAAAAAAAACAACACTGTTAGACTTGTCAAAATCAAATTATGAGTACCTATTTTATATTCACGCAGAAGAACTTCATACCTGTAATGTCATCATACATCTGCCATTCAACCAGACCTTGGCTGTTGTATCCCATGATCCACTCAATAATGTGCCGAATTTCCCAGATGAAAGGCTACAAACTGGAATGAACATTCAAATCAGCACTGACAAGTTTCCTACATTGCTACCAATCTTATGCCAGCAATTTAAAGATATTTATTTAAGGAGATTTACTTGGTATTAGTAGCCTATTTAGCATTGAGGAGTTTGGGGAAGAATTAAGTGGAACTGTAGTTGCACCGCAACCTAGAAAGGAGATGCTTAAAAATCTCTTTATTCTATATTAAAAGATTTCCCATCTTTTTGCCATTCATATTTTTAAGTTTCTCTTAGTACCAGATCTCTTCTCCTCAGACTAGAAGATGTTGATAAGCAGGTTAGGTAACTAGTCAAAACACAGAATTAACCAAAAGGTTTAATTTAAGATTACAGAGAAAGCCAAGATTTTGTCAACATGTACTAATTTATGTCCTCGAGAAGCAACATTTTTGACACCCTATAATTAAACCATTAGACTGTTCAAAAGTCTATTAAATACTAGATCTGCTCTTAAGAGAAAAACTTAGTATGCTAATATGAAAATTGCTGCATCTTATTATATAGCTCAAGAATAGGTATAAAAACTCATGTCATATGTCATGAATTCACCGACCTGACTAAAGAGACGAAATTACTGCAGTAAGCTTTTTGTCTTTACTACGCATTTAAAGCGCCAATTAATCTTAGATCCCCATCTAGCTAATAAAATGTGCAGTGAAAGTTTATTTAAGAAACTGACTTCTACTTCTATCCACTTTGACATAAAAAGTAAGCATAACATGGAGAACTAAATGAACTGCTTCTTAAAAACGCAACTCTTGTCAAAACGGTAATCAGTAAATTGCCATTTGTTCACATATATAGTAAAAGCTCAAGCATTCATCAGTGTAAACGTGTAAGTCTTTGCAACGAACTGTCAGAGCATGAGTGGAGATTAAAAAACCCCATTTGATCGCAGAGGCCATAATTAAATAGTTTGCTATTTGGTTTGTTAAATACCAAGGAAATCAAAATTGAGTTTTATAACTTCAAATTAATTTCCTCTCTAACAGAGCACGTTAACTTTTATGCAACTAACTCCAAACTACATACCTGTGTCCTCATGACCCTTAAGGACATAAAGAGGAGTTGGGTTGTCAGGTGTGAAAACGCAAATATTATGATCATTGCCACCAGTTGCAATCAGCCCATGAGAATAGAGGTCACTTGGAGGTATGGTGCACACACAAGATACAAAATTCGAATGGCCACTCATACACTGCGTTTCATTAAAGCCCCTGTTAAGACTAAACATGTATGACAATTAGTTCAGAGTGATGGCAGAAACAGTACTTATTTGAGGCATTAAATTATGACAAGTGTTTTATACTCCAACTCTCGAATTAATCGCTATGCTTGCATTGTGCTGAATAAACACTATGGATGACCTATAAGGAATGAAAAACTGAAGAGAAAAGTTATACCCCAGCATTCCAACCCAGTAAGCAATATTAAAAGCTTTTCACCTATTTTTCCGCACACGGGCCCGCCGGT